ATACTATTAAACGTAAGACCCAATTTGTAAAACGAACGCAAGTCTTAGTGATGTATGTTTATGGGTGAAACGTTCATGGGAGGGTATTTCTACCGATATAATTGTTAAGTCCTTTAAAACGTGTAATATTTTAACCTGATGATGTTAATGACGATAATACCACTGACTCCGTCATTGGCGAGGATGATATCATTGACATCGATGAGACGAATTAATCATTGCAATAATAATAATAATATAATAAAATAATCAAGTGAATACATTTATAAGGTAAATTATTTATTCTAAAGTGTTGCTTATTTTCGGAGGAATACGGTATTTACTATTATAGATTTACCACCTTATAAAAACGAATATGTTGCGGAAAGCCAGAATTATCGGTTCTTGTAGCGGGAACAATTGAAGGTTTACGACACGAAGAACTGGAATCGTGGTTGCAGGAAGCTACTCCACTACGCTTCGAACATAACCGACGCTCACAAACTACCCGAATTCGCCAACCAAAAGATACAATCACGGCGACCTTCAAAACCAACCGAACACACACTTCTATATTCTCTCTCAACATCTCGATATATGGTTTGAGTCAACTGGTGTAGGCCTCTCGGTCGAACACGGCTGTTCTACAAACACCCAAGGTCGTTGAGAGGTGTCACAGATCCAACCGCAAAACTCCGCTGAGGGGAAATCATTAAATAAGCAAGTTTGGGATTGGCGCGGAGCTCGCCAAAGTTACTGTGAGCATTGACAGGGAAGCACTGAAAGCTGGCGGAATTGAGAACAAGTGTAGCTGCATTGTCAAGTATTGTGCGAGCCTGAGGGTTGTTATAGATGGGAAAATCCATGGGTATATGACTCAGTTAGAAAAAGAGTTGATGACTATAAAGAACACTACCTTTTCCGGTTTATCATCGAGGGATTCTGTGCGGTGTTTTTTAGCTACAGGTTTGTTCACTGTAAGGGGCAAAAGTAAATATGATATCATCGTTTCCACACTTGCTCCTTTTACTACCTTCCAATGGAGATTTATCGCCACTGTCATTGAGTCCACTCCTATCTTTTTCAATCACGCCTTGATCCTGAAAGAAACAAAAAAAGCTTAAAAGAATGTTATGTGATTGATCAAGGCCAACTTTTTTTTAAAAAAAAAATTTACCAAAACGTCACGGACACGTTTGTCATAACGCAATGAAAGTTTGAGAGTGTGGGTAATCACCAGACTTCTTTAAGAGTTCTTAAGAGATTATTGATACTCCCTTTAACAAGACAGAATGCTACTGGCATTATTTCTAACTTACGTCATTTCGTTCACAGATCACACTCCTGAAAAAAGTACATGAAGATGCTGCAGATTTTCCATTTGCACCTAACATTATAATGTATAATGAGAGTAATCCTGAAAGGGAAGAAAGCAGGTCGCAATGTTGGGGCAGTTAATAACTGATGCTTCAAGACCAGGTGATACCTGTCGAGAAGTTTCCCCAACATCACTTGCAATGATGGGGGCAGTTAATAACTGATGCTTCAAGACCAGGTGATACCTGTCGAGAAGTTTCCCCACCATCGCTTGGATTAGGATGGCAACAGCTGATACTCAAAGTCATCACTTAGTAATCACGTGTAGCCGCATCCAGTTCTGGTTGCAGCTGCTTTGCGAATTTTAAAAAGCGGCTGGTCCATGCGCCATCAAGGCCCTTCCAATATTCGGTAAAGGGTGATGATCGGACGACGACGTCGCGGTTGGTTTCTAAAAATCCACGTATGACCGGGGTCATGGATTTGCAAATACTTTTGAAGAGCTAGTTGAAAGCGAAAAAGTGGTCAGTATCTTCACTCAAAGTTTGTTCCTCAAAATATAATACACACACCGGAATAGTAATAGCCAGAGAATATTTCATCAGACATTTAATATTAATATTAAGGCATCTCGTTCTAAAAAGCAGCGGCGGGTGTGACGTTTCACGTTACAGAATAAAAATTTGAAATG